TAACACACTTATGGAGCACTTATAAGGCCAGGCACTATGTTAAGTGCTCAACAAACATTGTTTTTTTCAGTTAACCCTCGCCCTATAAAGCAGAAATGATGATTATCCCCCATTTTGCACATGTGAAAGCCAAGATGCAGGAATTCGATAATTGAGCCTGGGTCTCAAGGTAAGTGGCAGGCCCAGGACTCAAACCCGGGCCATGAGACTTTGGGGCCCACGGCCATTGTGCGTACAGCCCCTCAAAACCATCACGAACAAGTCATGGCCTGTTGCTGAAGTGCCGCAAGAATTCTGCGGGAGAGTGGAGGCCGTCCGAGCGCTGGCTCCTCAAGCAGGGCAGGCATGGGACACGTGCCTTGGGCCTGTCTACGCAGGGCACACAAACTGCAGTGCAAAACCACTCAACTCACACAGGAATGGACAGGAATGGACTTGTTATTAAGAGATGGCTGCTTTCCTGTGGCTTCCTACCTCGGAGGAGCGTGTAGAAGGCTGCATTTAGCTGGCCCTGAGCCAACAAAGTGTTTCCTAGGCTCCTCGATGCTGCCCAGGGGCTGCAGGACATTCCAGGGTCTAAGGCTTAACTGCTTCTTCTTTCTACATTAAAGTAATTAAAGTGTCCACATATCTGACTCTGGTGCAGCCCAGACAGCGTGTGATCACGAAGGTGGCCCTGGAGACGTTTTCATGGGTGCCTCAGAGAGGAAGACTCAGAACTGAGCTTGTGGGTGGGGAGTCAATTACTCAACATGATCGATGCAAGCAGCAAAAAACCCCAGTCAAAGCAGAGTGTCCAACAGTCGCCCAGAGTGCCAGCTCCTAACCTGTCCAAACTTAAAGAGCCATCTGCATTCTTACTCGGTGTACAGCATGCTGGTACCTCTGGAAGAAGGTGTAACACAACCGATTAATTTATTTCCTTCTCTTCTGCCGTTGATTGGCTCTTAGCAGAGAGCAGTGTTCTGAGGGAATGAGAAACAGGTCAGGCAAGTTTCGACTAGATCTGTCTACATGGGGTGCCTCGTCCTGATGGACATCTGAAGAAAGGTTCTAGATCCGTACCATACAGCATGAGGGCCTCAGGTCTCCAGCTACAGAACAAGAGGCTGGAGTTACAGGGGAAGAAAAATAATTTTACCTGAGTTCCTACCTGACACGCTCTCTTGTTAATCTGTAATAGAAGACAGATGAACAAGAGAAAAACAAACAGAAATTTATTGACATGTGTACCTTGTGTAGACACGGGAGATATCGAAGGAAAAGTGGGGAAGCACCCGAGGTGGCTTAGAATTCAGAATTAAATACCATCTTACCAGGGAAGGGGAGGGGTGTGTGTGTGTAGGCCTCTCAGGGAAGAGCAAATGATTTTTAGGAAAGATGAGAGGTATGATAGTTTGTGATAAAGTGTGTCTGAATGTGCTGTCAACTTCTAGGCTCCTCTCTCTCCTGTGACAGGACACAACAGCCTTACCTGGTTGACAAAACTGCCCAAGGGGAATTCAGACACAGCTTCTCCCTGAATTTGCTGTTTTCCAAGGGCCTACAGCTCATAGAAATCAATAGGTCAAAGGAGCAGATTCGGGAAGCAAGTCCTGAATTCCTACAGTCATACTCGGGGCCACACATTCTCTACCCTTCAGAGCATGACCACTGTGGTCCTTCCCAGCTCTCAGTACAAGAGGGTACGGGCCCTGGGATGGATGCATTCAACAGCTAAGGCAGCAGAAAGTTAAAAATTTGCCTTAAAAAAAAAAAAAAGGCATGGGTGTCATCTCCAAAGTACTAGGCTGTCTCCCTGTAAAGATCACCTTTAAACTGGTCAGGGACTAACTGTCCAGTCCGCCAAGTACAACCAGGGGTACCTTCATGCCAGCTGAAGGCTTTGTCTACATTTATACAATTCAGAATAAATTTATAAATTTATAAGACTGGGACTTCGTCTAAATTTAACACTATGTGGGGTTTCTGGTGCTTGACCTTCCTGTTGCTTAATCCCTCTCTTCTGTTTTGTGCTCTGGTCTCTTCCCCTCCATCCTTTGCTGCTCCTTATCTGGTGTCGTAATTACTGAGGTCTCTTATGCTCCGAGTGCTTTAGCTCTTTCTTCTGTGGTTTAATTCCCGCAGTTTAATAAAAATTCTTGTGTAGTGCCTCGTTCCTTGGAGGAAAGCTCCTTTAATTATTAGGAATGAGGACACATAAACAATGAAACAGAGAATGGTGACTGAAATATGAATTTAATATAAGGATACTTTACCTGGACTTTTTTGTTTAATTTGGAGGGGGAATAAAACCTCTCAAGGTTGCATTTCCATTCAAAGAGACTTCAATGTACTAAACTCACCATTAGAACAACTTCGCTGAGAAGCATTTTAAGGGCAAATGTCAGGAAAAAAATTTCACATTTAAGAGCCCAGGCTCTGCCTCTTTTGAAAGGCTGGGTTAGCCTCTGGTTTAGAAATGTCGCTGCCTACAAAGTTCTTTGTGCGGAGAAGAAAGAAAATTGAATGTTTTATTTAAACAGGTCATTAACAGTCAATACTTATTTGAAAAGGCCTGCTTCCAGAGGCAGATAAAAGCTCCCAATCACTTAGAATATCACTCGAGCACATCTAGGGCAAGATGTGCTGATGCAAGTTTCAGGCCTCCACGGGAGAACATCTCCACTCAACAGCCCAGCACTGGCGTAGGAGGCAGAGTCATCCGAATTGGACGCCCTTGTATGTGCTGCACACACAGACACAGAGAGCAAGAGCACAAAGCACACTCTATAGCAGGCCCCGCTTTGCATTTTTCCACTCTGGTACTGGCAAATGCGTGTGAATGAAGATGAACCATTTTTGCATCAAGAGCCAAACCACCTCCCCACGGGCGGCAGCAGAATGCAAATGGAGGCAAAAGAGCAGAGGGCAACTAAAATAAATGCAGCAGATCCCAGGCACTGCGAGCACACGGGGTGGGCGTGTGGCAGGCTTTATTAGCATTCAGCTGTGGCATGGTTTTTCTATTTAATTTGAAATTATTTCATTTCATAGGTCTCTGATGGCTTGCGAATATAAATAAATGCCTTTTTCTAAAAGTGACCTGGTGCTGGGCTCCTGGAAGGCTCTGCTTCTGATCGCGGGCTTTCAAGCATACATGTGTTTCCATAGCGATGTGGGTGACCCTGGGCCTGGCACAAGTACCCACTTGTACCAGCGGTTCAATTATGTTTCAAGATGCAATGATGTCAGCTCAAGTCTTTAAAACATGCCCATCCTCAGAGAGGCCTTGGGAAAGGTGAAGTGACTGGTGTTATGAGGTTCAGAAGGAGAAATTTCACTCTGTCCAAGCATGCCATCAAAGGCTCTCTTCCCACAGATTACACTGGCTTCCCCTCATCCCTCTGCTGGCCCTCGAGCAAATCTCTGATCCCGGAGGGGTGTGGACAAAAATACCAACCACAGTTCTCCTTCACACAGCTGAGCAGCAAATGCACAGACGACTCCCAGCCTCAATGCTGAGAAAGTACACGCTTTCCCTTTACTTCCTTGTGCCCAGCTCTTCAACTAGCTATGGGCGGTTCCTACAGAGAGGGCAATGCTTGTTCTTACTACGTGACAGACATTCACTAAACACCTACGACATGCCAGGCTCTACTGGGAATGCTGGCAGCGGTTACAAAACAGCACTTACTGAACTCTTACTGTATATCAGGCGCTGCATAAGCACTCTGCATGTATTAACTCATTTAATTCTCATCATAACTCCATATGGAGTGTGCTATCCTCAATTCATAGAAAAAGGAATGGAAGCGTAGAGAACAAGCTACTTATTCAAGTCCCACTGCTAATGAGTGCCTGAGTTGAGCACTCGACTTGGACCTCCTGTCTCCTTCCATCACTGGATAGAGACAGACATGTACACAAACACATAGACAAGAGCCAGACGAGGAGGTGGAGAAGGAAATCAGAGTGTGGACTCAGGAAATCAGAGTTGGCAGTGAGCTGGCTCAAGGTTCTGGGCAGAGCAGCACTAAGGGCTGCTTGCAAGTCTCGTCGCAGAGACCAGGCATAGCAGAGGGCTGGAGGCAGGCTTGCCATCAGTGGGGGCTGTAGGCTTTTTAAAATTTTTTATAGCAACTTTATAAAGAAAACACTGATATGCATCTCCAAAGAAAACATGCACTGCAGTTCTGCAACATAACTCTGGACTGGCAAAGAGAAATCCTAACTAAACTTGGCAAAGAGGAGCCACACGTTCAAAGCCAGCTCTGGGGAAGCTGGCTCATTTGTCCTGGAATACACCTGGCAAAGGAACCATCATCTTTTCAGAGCAGAGTCTGGTTTCAAAAACCTCTGTTCCAAGAAGCGCGCAATATTCCTAATCCATTAAGTCAGAATTCTTTGAGTAAACACGTAATGATTTTCTCAAAGTAGCAGAGGAAGGTTTTTCCCACTTCCTTGAAATGGCACTGGCCCTGACTGGGTAAAGATGGTCTAGGATGACTGTCTCACATGCCCTGGCTTTGGGATGGGAGGGAATATGAGGAAGCTGAGGTGGCACCTCAACATCCAGCAGGAGAGAAACCAACCAGCAGTCTAGCCACTCCAACGCACCGACACCTGCCCACCCGCCTTACTCCACTCCAGCCCCCGCGGCCCCAGTGACTGTTCCTCCTGAGGCTTTCCAACAAAGTCAACCTCAACTCACTTTTTCAGGCCTCCTGGTGTGTTCCAAATCAGGGATCCCAGGCCAAGGCCCGAGCTTCTGGCTTTCTCAACAGGCAGATCAACCCTGTTCCCCAACTGGCCACCTTTATCAACAAGCTTTTACTGTGACCAGTCATCTCAATCATGATGCAGGTGGAGTCAGCAACCAGGGTAGGTGGCAGGATCCTGGGTGTGGCCTGGAGTAGGTTCAGGCCCGGAGTGGCCTCAGCCGGCTGCGGCTCACAGGGACTCACCTTCTGAGGACGGGCTGTTAAGTGGCCGGAGCTTTCACCATCAGGCCTGTCAGTGAACGCCGAGTTCTCCGTTCTTCTCTCAGAGAAGGCCGAGCCAGAAGACGGGCCCTGCAAACCCTCCGCTGCCTCGGAGGCCGAGAGACAGTACGGGCTGGGACTCTAGCGATCGCTCCAAAGGTCAGGTCTGGGTCTAGTCATCGGCTAAAGGCTTCTAATCTTCCTGCAACACTAGTGCAGGTGCATCAATCAATTAGCAAACATTCCTGGCTCTGCACCCTGAGGCTTGCTGTCTCCCCTCCCCCTTCTAAAACCTGTCCCCCGGTTCTAGGCCTAACTGGAAGCATCTGTTGGCTAATTCTGCACTAAATGAATACTGTACTACTATATCTATGGGTATATCCATTTCATGAGGGCTCATGCTCTCAGCCAGAGGAATGAAATGCTCATGGAGAACATTCAGTCTCTCCCAGTGAAAAGCTGATGTGAGGCATATGGGGGTGGGGATAACCAGGGCTGGGGCCCGGCAAATGGAGAGGGCCTTCTTACCTGTGAACACCTGTTCTCCCTATAGGCAAGTTAGTCTTGTATGTGTTACCTCTGTTTGCTGGTTTGATTTTCAAAAAAAACTAGTATGTGAGTTCAACATGTCCACAGAAAGGCGCTATTTCTTTTTAGGGTCAGGCCTGTCGGGATCCCCACCATCAGAGCCCATGTTAAACCGCCCACAGGCAAAGTCCTCTGAGGAGCCCGCGCAGCCGGCCCCGAACTAGACTGGTAGAGGCAGGTGGACAAGTGAAGGTGCTTCTGTCAACATCCAGAGCACCTTTGGCCCTTAAATAATTGCAGAGAGGAACCGGCCTATTTTTTTGCTATTCAGATTCTTCCTTACTTATCCTCTTATGATAGGAAATAAAAAATTACAATTTACCAAGTTGGAATCCCAATCCTGCCTCTGAGTAGTTCTGGGATTTGGGTGACTACCCCACCTCTCTATGGCTTCGCTTCCTCATCAGTAAAATGGGGGTGATAATAATAAGGACCTCATTGGGTGGTAATGAGGATGGCATGAGTTCTGACTTGTAAAAGTGATTAAAACAGTGCCTGGCACACAGTAGGAGTTATAAAATAAATATGAATAGAGAAATCATCTCACTAGATCCCTCTATAGCCTGTGTGGTTGCTTTTCCATAATCTTCATTTTACAGTGAGAAACTAAGCCTGAGAGGTCACGGCCATACATCTAGCCAGTGATGGGGCTGACCCTTGAAATGCAACCTTCTGACCACAAATTGCCCTTACAGGGCTACGCCCTCCCCTCCCCTGAATACTGCCACCCTAGGGCAACTCCAGAGAGGCGTGGGTGGCAGACTGAGGCCTGGTTGCAGCATTGCCAAGAAAGATGTAAACTCTCACAGCTCTGACTGTGCCCAAAGGGTCATTTGTTTTTTGTGTTCTTTTTCATGAATACCTCCTCCCAGCAGAACAGCTTGGAAACCCATGCAGTCAGTTTCTGGCCATGTGGCTAACCAGATGTGATAGGTGCTCTGGTGACCAAATTCATAGCTAAGGTACCTGTCTTCAGAGGACAATAAGCAGTAAAAATATAGAAAGAGCAAAGTTCAAATAAAGTCTTAGAGCTAATTAGAGAACAGCTTAAAAATTACTAAATCTCCTTTCATACCTTCTGATTTCAAGTAACCATATTAAGATGGATAAAAGAGAGAATTAATATGATTTTAATGCCCTTGAGTTTATTCTAATGCAATCACTGATAATAAAAAAACTCATTCTGACCAGTTTATGATATGCTAAAAATTCTACAGGTCATATTTACTATCTTAGTAAATTTTCTTTCAGTTTCTAACTATAATAAAAAATAAAAATTTGCCATCTGAAATATGCTATGATGAGAAAATAAAGACTTTTAAAGCACTTCAAATATATAAGATATTAAAAGATTCAATGAATTACAAAAAGAACTCCTTCCCTTTAAAAAGCCTATCTCTGATAAATTCCACTTCTTCCTTTTTTCCAAAGTAGTAGTGTAGAAGAGTGCCTTAGACAATTAAATGTTCAGTAAAGACATGGAGATCAAGGAATGTCCTCTTATTTTATTTTACCTTTCTTGATTGCAAGAAATTCCCCGGTTCTCAACATCGAAGACTGGGTTATCACTTTATACACCACCATGAAAACCAGCACTGTCCAATGCTCTTCTAGCCACGTCACTTTACATACCCTCCAATCCACTCCCTATCCCCCTCCCCAGCCCGTATGCCTAATCTGTAATATTATGGTCATTCTCAGGGTCAAGGTCCAACCATGAGCACTGAAGTCCTCCACATCTTTCTATATCAAACCCCAGGTGTCCCATCTCTTTAACCAGGTAACTTCCTCAATGTCTTCTACTTATTTTATTTCTTCTGCACATATAGTCTTGTAGTTGGGGTAACCAGATCACAGCCCTCTAGTTAGTTCCCCTCCATCAAAACCTATACTCTGCCCAAAAGAGAAAGGCTGAAGCTGTACCCTTACTATGGAATATGAGAAAACAAAAATTAATTGGTTTTCAGTCCAAAGGTAACCACATTTAACCACTAACCTTATTTGCCTGTTAACTCTACCCACAGATACAGATTTTCATTGCTGCATACACCCATATGTATGCTGTGGGTTCTTTGTAAGCCTTTCCATGGCAAGCCTGCTTACTCCTTGAGTTTACAGCATGAAAGGTGTGGGAGCACACACCTCACCCTCTTTCCTTGCACTGAGCTCCAGCCTGCCCTGTGGCTCAACTCACACTGGGGGAAGTCCAGAAAATACCCAATGCTTACGATGTCTGTTAGGCCTCAGCGATATGTAGTTTAATCTCTTCCAAATCATTTTTCTAAAGATTGAATCAAAACTGGTTTTTGTACAGTAGTTCAAATATTGTACAGGCCTTTCAAATAAATATAATACCATATATTATTTCCCTTTGGAAGACTTTCTGTTAGTCATCCAATCTACCTTAAAGCAATTTTCAGGTGTAAATGTATTAGGTTTTGATCACTTGTTTGATGAAAAAGATCCATCTCTCACAGCCTCGATTCCACTTAGACACTTATACCCATTTTTGGCAGACTGGCAGAAACGAGCAATTGGGGTTGTTAATTTTTTTTTTCTTTTTTTTTACTAAGGCTAAAAATTTCATTATCCAGCCAGAGAACATGTCCTGTGAGTGTGCCCCCAGTGGCCCAATGGGCTGGACACTGCATGTGGAGGGATGTCCACACGTGTGTGTCCCCATGGGAAATGATAATCATTCTTGAGGGATGTCTATTGTGGGGCATTAGTTGGGGGTGTGTCAGAACCAAGAGAAATAAGAATGCCAGTAGCAGAATCTTAAACCATTCTGAAATGTCTATAACCATGTTTATAATGGGGCTTCCAGAGGGGCAAGGAGGCTTTAGTTTAGGTGGCTTTATTAGGGCTTCTGAGGGGCGGGGCTCTTTTATACTATTTTAAGGAAGTACTGACAATGATGGGCATGGCATTTCAGGTAAGAGGAAAAGCAAAATTGAAACCTCTCTGGCAGAAACAAGTAAGTCACATGTAAGGCCAGAAGGAAAGCCTGCCTCCATAGTGCACAGAAGTCAACTGATAAATATTTATTGGGGGTCCACTATGCACCTCAGATAGATGCAATGTGTTCAGCTTACTGTAATGCAGTATAATTTTAAGATTAGCTTTGAACAGAGATAAGATTAGCAGGCAGTAAGCAATCAGATGACATCAGAAATTGGTTTGTGAAAGGTGTTATATGGTGAGGCTTCAATTACACACTTGTCTTGTTCATACTGAAGCAAAGAGATAACATCCTTGTTTTGTTTTCCTTTTAGCAAACAAGAGAGTTCTTTTCCATCTCCACTGCACGCCAATTCTCTGAGCCACTCCCCTGTCATTTTTGGTTATGAGTAATGAAACTAAACTCAATTTTCTCTATTATTTTTGATACGAATTGAAACTTGACTTTTTTTAACCATTTCAACTTGATGCAACTTGATTCTTTTTCCTTTATTTTTGCAAAAATATACTTTAATCTAATATTAAATATGTCCTCTAAAACAAATAAAAGCTATGCAGCTAAGTTTCACTTCACTCTAGGAAAGCAACTCATAAATTAAATATTTCATTTGGTTTTATTTTTTACCTGGCTTTGCACCCCAGGAATAACCAACAGTTAATATTATGTAACTTACCAAACTCAGTCTTGAAAAAGAGATAACCAGACACTGAAAAGACACTCTTGTTTGTTTTACTAAGTGGTTCTTCTAAAAATCTGAGTATTTTTTTTTAATTTTTTTTATTTGTTTATGATAGTTACAGAGAGAGAGAGAGAGGCAGAGACATAGGCAGAGAGAGAAGCAGGCTCCATGCACCGGGAGCCCGATGTGGGATTCGATCCCGGGTCTCCAGGATCGCGCCCCGGGCCAATGGCAGGCGCCAAACCGCTGCGCCACCCAGGGATCCCCTAAAAATCTGAGTATTAAAGAGGGAAAATGCCTTTGAAAATTAATCTACTTTTTAAAAAAAGTCTATTTCTGAATGGCTGCCAGCCAGACTTCAGTTGGTTTCATTTTTCATTTCAAGCCTTCTAACAAAATATGACTGGACAGAATGAGACCACTCCAGACAACCTCATGGAAAACACAAAGGAAGGACTGAGGAAAGACTATAAAGACAACCCAAAGCTCAGAGTTTTGGTTTAATTTTTTAAAGATCCTGAAGCTATGCTGCATGATGGGAAAAAATACATTTATCTGTGACAAAGCATTCTCCTTCTTCAAACCTCTGACTAATCAGTCAGCCTCTTGCTTTACAAAGACTTCTCGTGTCTGATAACACTGCCATGCCTTTAGCAAGAAGGGTCATATGCTGAGCTGGCTCACTGACTCATTCATTCATTCATTCATTCATTCATTCACTTAATAAACATTTAGTGAGCATCTCCTTTGGCCAGGCATTACCCTAGATGCTGGGGAATGCAATAGCAAATAAAACAAAAATTCCTCAAGCACCATGTTGGGTTTTATCCCTTTATGTCTATTTCACCAAGTCCTCCCAGTGCTCCCACAGTAAGTATTACTATCTTCATTTCATAGATGAGAGAAGTGGGCAGAGAGAAGTTAAGGCCG